TGCCTCAAAAGCACAGCAGAGCCCCAGCCCTGCAGAAACCAGATGCAGCCAAGCACCCAAAATACCCACCACCGCCAGCCCACCTGCCTCCTTTGCACAAGGCGCCAGCCCCGCGCACGCAAGGCCTGCCTGCTTCACTTCCAAGACTCCGCTCTCACTTGGTGAGGAGATGGGAGTGTGATTGTAGCCCTGACACATCCACTGAGTCCCCAGCAGGGGCATGGCTACCCCACGGCAGCAGAGGGGATGCCACTAAGGCATGGCCAGTGTGCCAGCGGGACCTACTTTGCCAACACCCATCTCCCTAGAGCCGGCTCGACCCTTCAAGGACTCCCATCACGTCCCCCATACCATACCCAAAGGGCTGCAGCAGTCGATGCCCACCCCGAGGACCCAGGGCAGCAGGCCAAGCCACGAGGGGTGCCCCATGGATGGCACTGACCCCCCAGGGCCAGGCTCGTGGAGGGCTGGGTGCAGAGTCACATCCCACGTGCTGCCCCCGCTCCCACACACACACTGGAGCTGCGCCTCATTAACACACGTTTATTGTTTCATTGCGAATCGCGCGGTGACCAAGCGAGAAGAGGGACCCCGCGCGCAGGGGCGAGCCTGAGCAGGTGCCTGCACGGATGAGTCCCCTCGGCTGGGGGAGAGCCCCACTCTTGGGGCTGCGGAGCCCAAGGCCCCCCAAGGGCAGCTCCAGGGGGGATTTGGCTCTGGTCCCCCCTTCCCAGGCTACCGAGGACCCAGCCCCAGGCCTGGTGTCAAGACAGATCAGGGCAAACCCTGTACCCAGCCCCAAATCCACCCTTTACCTTTCCAAATTTGCAGTGCTGCACATATAGGATCCCATCCTTCACCGGTCTCTCCATGGGCCCAGCACCGCCCTGGCAGCCAGCGCAAGGATCGGGAACTCAGGCTACCAGCAGCGGAGAAAATGTGACTGCTGCAGCCGCAGCAACTGCATGGGGCAGACTTCCTTCTCTCAGCGACTTCCCCTTTTCGGTGTGTGGGATGAGGGGCAGAGGCTGGGTGACAGGAGGTGTCTGTCCGTTCGCCCTCCCCCTCACAGAGGGGCAGCGGGGCAGAACGCACGCAGGCAGAGCACAGGAAGCACCGTGGGGACCGCCCGACAGGAGCACAGCACGCTGCGCCTTGCCCCAGCTGCATCAGAGCGTATCTAGGGGACACGGGAACAGCCACCAGACGAGGCACAGAACCAGGTAAGAGGGATGGTCCCACAGGAATCGAGGGGCTTTGGCAGGGAGTGATGTAAGACCTCGGCCACACCACTGCAGAGGGCTGGCAGGGGCAGCAGGCAGCTGGCCAGACAGACCATCCACCACACCTGGGGCTTCCTCCTCCCCTCAGGCATCGCTACCTGCCTGCCCACCGCTCTGCTGACATAACGAGGTGTTGCAGCACAGCCCCACATGTTTCCTCCCAGGCTGAGAAATTTGAAGGCTGAGCCAGCAACACGCCCAGTGGCCAAACACCTGGAAAAGGGGCCACAACAGTGCGGGATAGGCCCCTGGGCTTGGGGACGGCCAGGGCAGCTGGGGCGCTGCTCCGGCTGAAAGGGAACCAAGGCTGGCGCAGGGGGAACGCTGGGCAGCATGCTCCCCAGGCTAGAAGTCCATAGAGCTGTGGGCCAGGTAGTCCTTGCGGCCGATGTTGCTGACTTGCTTGGTCTGCATCGCCTCCAGCTTGGGGCAGTCGGTGATGCGATGGCCCAGGCCACCGCAGAAGGCGCAGCCCCGCTCGCCTGCAACGGGAGGGAGGAGGTCAGGGGGAGCTGTGCCATGCTAGGAAAGCGGCCCCCCACCCCAGAAGCAGAGGGGCTACGCCAGCATCTTCCCCCGCTGCCACAGCGCTGGGCTGCCCGCGTGGCCAGGCAACGACAGCCCCAGGAGCCTGGACCGATGGGAACCGGGGGTCCTGTCCACAGCCCAGGTCTCTCAACAGTCCTGTGGGAGGTCCCTGTGCCAGCCCAGGGTCTCTCACCTCCAATGTCCAGCATGGTTTCGTCCCCGCAATGCAGCACCTGGAGCACAGGTGGCACCTTCTGCTTCGCCTCCAGGAGCAGAGCCTTCAGGTCCATCAACACCGACTCATCTGGGGGCACAGACCGGGATCAGACACAGCCCGAGCAGGGGTTCGGTGGCACTGCCCCACGCCACCACCTCCCCTCCAAGGGCCATCGTGACTCGTCCCTGCTTGCTCAGGAACACCCCCTTGCCAAGACAGAGGCAGCTCCATCATCCAGCTGCCTCCTACCAGCCCACCCCCCGGCCCCGTGCCATTTCTCACCGCAGGCCTTGTTGATGAAGGTGGTGGCAATGCCAGTGTTGCCTGAACGGCCTGTACGCCCGATACGGTGAACTGTGGAGAAACAGACAGGATCAGGCCTAGGCAAATGCAACGCGACAGACCATCCCTGCCCCCAGCCACTGCAGAGACAAGCGCAGAGCCTTGCTGGCCTCTGCACCCACCACACCACACCCTCATCGGTCCCCCACAGGGCCCAGTTCCCACCATAGTTCTCAATTTCCTCCGGCATGTCGTAGTTGATGACGTGCTGGATGGCTGGGAAGTCCAGGCCCTTGGAAGCGACATCAGTGGCAACCAGAACATCCTTCTTCCCATCCCGGAAGGCCTCGATGGCTTTTGTCCGTTCCTCCTGATCTGCAAAGGCCCAGCAGAGAAGATCAGCAAGGGCAGAGCTCCCAGTCTTACCTCTTCTGGCAACCACTAGGGCCTCAGAGCCAAGCATCACTCAACTGGGGCTCCCTCAGTAAGAGGACCCATGAAGCCTTTTCCCAAATTAAGAGGCAAAAAGACCCTACAGATCCCACAGGAATCTGCATTGTTTATGCCGACTACATACAACATGGTGTTCGCTCCTACCACTGCCACAGCCCTTCCTCACACCATCACAAACTGCTGCACGCTGGGACCTCCCATGGCCACGTCCCACCCTGGCAGGAGTGGGGTCAGGTAGGGCCACACCGCAGCCCAGGACCCCTCAACACCCTCACTGACCTTTCCCTCCGTGGATGGCCACAGCTTCCACACCCTTAAGCAGTAGGTACTCATGGATCGCATCAACATCCGCCTTCTTCTCCGCAAAGATCAGCACCTGCCGCAGCACAGACATCATGGCAGAGCTGCCTTTCTGCAGCCTGGCACCAGCACAACCCCCCCCCCGGGAAACCCACTCCCTCTTGCTGAGCAGAGCACACAACAGCTGTGGGCCCAGGACCTGCTCGTATGTGAAGCATGGCTCACTCACGCCTAGCCCACACACAGCAGAGCCCTGCAGCATCACAGCCGTGTCCCCACTGCCGGCTCCACCCGTGCCCCAGGGCTGCAGTGCACTTCACTGCCCTCAGCCACGCTCCCAGAGCAGCCAGAGTGCACTACTCACCGGTGGCGGAGTCTTCTGCAGGCACTCAAGGAGGTACACCATCTTGGCTTCCTCTTTCACGTACTCCACCTCCTAGGAACAAGCACAGGGATGGGTCAGGCAGGAAGCAGAGAAACTGCCATTGCTTGGTATCCTTTAACTTGTTGGGAAGGAGGGCCACGCACCCCAACTCCTTGACAAGGGATGCATCAAGTGCCCTCATGAACAGCGCTAGCCTCCCCCACAGGCATGGGGGAGCACCCAACTACGTCACCTGCACAACATCCAGGCTGGCAGCACCCGCTCGCCCAACATTAATGGTGATGGGCTTCACGAGGGCACTCTTGGCAAAGTTCTGAATCTTCTTGGGCATTGTAGCACTGAAGAGGAGGGTCTGTCGCTGGCCCTGCGCAGGGAACACAGTGTGAGCAAGGATTTAGCACTCACCCAAACAGTCAGGTGTAGGGATTGAGCTTCAGGGTGCTCAGATTGTGCCAGCTCAGTACCTTGAAGTAGGAAAAGATGGTACGGATGTCCCCCTCAAAGCCCATATCGATCATCCTGTCAGCCTCATCCAAAGCCAAGTAACGGCAGATGTCCAGGCTCACCATTTTCTTCTGCAGCAGGTCCATCAGGCGGCCAGGGGTTGCCACCATCATGTGCACACCACTGTAGGACAAGAGGCAGCCACGGTCAGGCACTCGGATTCCCGCCCCATGCAGCAACACATAGAGAAGGTAACACCCACTTGGCACATCACCCTCACCCCCACACCGTCCTGAAGCCATCCAGCCAGGGTGACGTCCCTTAGTCCCCTGCCAGAAAACACAGCACAGCTCCAGCCCCACAAGTTCCATCAGGTCTTACTGTTTGATTGTCTCCATCTGCTCCTTGACAGACATGCCCCCGATGCAGAGGGCGCAGCGCAGCGGGGGCAGGCTGTCCTCCTGCAGCAGGCGGCAGTAGTACTCAATGATGCCGTGGGTTTGCCGGGCCAGCTCCCGCTGCAGAGACAAAACTTACTCATTCCTACACCTCCGTGCAGGGAGGATCTGGGATTGCCCCTGAATATCAATCAAAGCTTTCTCCCGCCTGTCACCACGCCCCTGACACTCACCGAGGGACAGATGATGAGTCCATAGGGTCCCTCTCGCTTGGAAAATGGCAGCCTCTTCTCCTGCTCCAGGCAGAACATGATCACTGGGAGGGTGAACACCAAGGTCTTCCCAGAGCCAGTGAACGCAATGCCAATCATGTCCCTTCCTGAGAGGCTGGCAAAGAAATGGGGCTGATGGTGAGCAGGAGCATCACAGAACGGCTCAGACCTCCAGGACTGAGCAAGGTGACAGGATACATCTGTCACCAGGGAAAAGCACCTGGTATACACCGCTGGGTGGGCTCTAGGGAGCAACTTCTCCCCACTGTGGGATGGGGACAGAGCACTCACATCGTGGGGATGCCTTGGATCTGTATGGGTGTTGGCTGCTGGATCCCTTTTTTCTTCAGGCCCCTCAGGATAGCTGTCAGAGAACAAGGGGGACACACATTCATGACCTGAAGTCTTCTCCCGCTTTCCCTCCTGCTCAGTCCCAGCAGCAGCTCTTCCACTAGTGACAAACACCCCTTAGGCCAGCAGCTAGGTGACACAGCCACCACCGGAAATTTAAGCTGTGACCCCACTAACACTAAGCACTAAAGATTTGACAGCTTCGCTTGCTGTGCTTCGTTTCCCAGGAGAATGCTGTCCCCAACCCTGCCAGGATCCTCTCCTGACCCACCTGCTGGGAACTTCATCTCCTTAAAGCTCTTGATGGGGGGTGGGATGCCTTCCCCCTCCACCAGGATGTGGTACTTCTTGCGCACACGATCGTGCCGTGCCTCCGACATGCCCAGGATGTAACGAGGTGCTCTCCAGCTGCAACGGCAACAGAGGAAGGTCACGGTGCAGAATGAGGCTAGGGCTCCAGAGCCAGCAGCCCCCACAGAGGCCCAGGGGAACTCCCAGTCGGGCTCCAATATCCCACCAGGGAAAACAGGTAACCCCAAGGGCCTTCGTGGTGTGAGCACAGGAGCAGACCCAAGCCAGTTCCATGCGTTACACGTTTCCCCAAAGTCTCAGTAAGAAGTCCAAAGCTTGTAGGTGAGAACATTCTATGGATGGTGGATGGAACATGCCAAAATCTTTTGGACAGATCTCGATCATCTCTCTGACACTGCCTCAAGCAGTGCTGGCTCTGTGGGCTCACCCAGTCCCTTTCTCTAGCTTAGTCACTTCCAAAATCTGAAGATCCATCTCAAGTCTTCAAGTTTAATATAAACATACTCCAGAAAGTCTTAACTGTATATAAAATAACATTCAAGGTAACTCAACAGCCTTCATCTTATGTACAGCAGCAAGAAGCCAGGCAGTAGAGCAAAAGATAAGGCAGTAGCCACAGAGTGGTATTCCTCCTGCAATGCTGCATG